TGGTGTAAACGCATTATAGCAGCATTCGGTTTTTAAGAGGGGGGATTAATTCGACACGATAACGACGGTCTTTGGAGACGAGGTCGTAACGACCTCGTCCCAAAGATTTCAGTCGCCCACTCACTGGCGCTGGCGCCGCTGGGTTATAGTTCAAATATGCATTTTTAAAACGAATCGCGTATTATTAACTTATTTACTTTTTAAAATGATTCAGATAATTAAAATGTTACGTACTCACTTTTAACACTAAATTAGTAAAATCAGTAATTGTTTTGCAATTAAATCAAAGGTGTTTTCTTATAAAAACATTAAACAATTGGAATTGGAAATTAGTTTATGAACGCGAACACATTAATTCAATATATTATAAGTTTTTAATAGATTAAGTGGTAAAAACACAAAACAATTCTAATACTTATATCAATAAAACTAGTGATAAGTGCATGTGTTGGTTGTGTATCTAACGTTTTATTATAATTTCGTTTTATAGTAAAAGTAGTTAAATTACTTAAATTGTTGGTGAAATGTATAAAAAAACTGTAAAAAAGATTAAAAGAAATACATAAGAAACACAGTAATAAATAAACATTTGTTTTGAAAAAATTTAAAACAAAAAGCATATTCCTTCGCTGTGACTTACACAGCCTGTGAGCGGACCCTCTGATTGCGAGACGGGTGGTCTGTCTCGGAGCTATTTGCCTGAAAAAGTATTTCTACGGTAAATCCACTAACTTTGAAATTACGAATATTTCAAATGAAGACCTATTTAAACTTATTTCAGAAGGTAACAACTCACTAAAGAAAGAATTTTTAGACTTAAAAGTTGAAATTTAAAATGAAGTACTGGTCCTACAACGGAAAAATATCGAAGTGGAAAAAGAAAACCAAATTCTTAAACAAAAAATATTAAGTATAAGATGACCCGGTGAACTTCGTTGCACCTAAAATTCTTTATAAGATATTATCAATCTTTATGAACCTTTCAACTCAAATTCATTGAGATCGTGTACGGTTTAAGTTTTGTTTGGTTATTAAATAAAATTAGTTTGTATTTCAAATAAAAATATTTTATTCACATTCAATCTAAAGAATGAATTTGTGGTTATGATTTTTCATTTATTTAGAAGCGCAGCTACGAAAGCCATCTATTCAAATTAATCCAAAGTTGTACGAATTTCGATTTTTTCGATTTTCCGGCTGTTCCTTTTGGTTTTTCCCAATTTATTTTTTATTTAAATCACCCCTGTATTGAGGCGAACAAAACAAACAAAAAATATTTAAATGGGTTGAGCCATTTCCGAGTTTTTGCAGGACTAACGCACTGCAATTCATTTTTATATATAAATAAGAAGAAAATTGAAGTAAAACAAAAAAGTACAACCTTTTAGCTTAGGAGTGAAGGGAAAGGAAGAAGAAACTCAAAGTAATATTATTAAAATAATTAACGAAACTTTAAAAATACAATGTGATATAAATATAAATAATATCAACCCTGCCCAGTGCTTATAGAAGTGGTTAATAATAATAATATTATTTAAAAAAAATGAGCATCTAAAAGCCAGTAAAGTATTCTTCGCTCCCGAGTATCCCCAAGAAGATTACGAAGGGAGAAAAAAATTAAACAAATATTTGAAAATAGCAAGAAAAAAACTTCATGCAAAAATTTAAAAAAAAGTTAGTTCTTAATGCTGAAGAATATTCTGTTAAAGAACTTGAAAAGAATCCTGATATCTTAAATAACCCAAACAGCATTTACAAAAATCTGGACAAACCAATGATTCACAAGCTAGCTATCAAGAAGAAGGGGACCGAAAGAGAAAATCGGAAGATTCACCATCAATAGAAACTTGCTCCAGTTTCTATTGATGGTGAATCTTCCGATTTTCTCTTTCGGTCCCCTTCTTCTTGATAGCTAGCTTGTGAATCATTGGTGTGTTTGTAGGTCTGTGGTGTGTCCAGATTTTTGTAAATGCTACAAAAAAAAACAGAAGCAAGAAAAATTAAGCCACTTATTTATTTACAGATTTAATTATTATTGTTATGTTAGTTATTTAGTTACTATAAAAAAATTTTGTTTTGCTTATTTTAATGTAAGATCACTGCTTAAAAGCCTTGCAGAAATCTGCTATTGGAGCAAAAATATGATTTAATAGGAATTTGTGAAACCTGGCTCTCGCCAAATATTTTGGATGATTTAGTTTGTATTCAGGGATTTGATGTAAGATGTGAGGTGTAGTAGAGGTGGAGTTGGTCTTTATATCAAGTCTTTATATCAATTTTTTGTATTTCGGATCGGTTAATAATGCTGTGGATTAAAATATCAATCTTATATAAAACATACATTGTTGGAACTTTATATAGACCCACCTTCCAAAATATTAGTGATTTTATTACCTGCCTGAAAGATGCAGTTTCTGACTTTCTTCTAGACGCTAAGGATTTAATATGTGGAGGAGATATTAATATTGAATTGCTGGAAATTAATAATAATAATAATACAGTTAGATTTAACATGTGCTTGGATTTGTTTAATCTAAAACAAATAGTTAAATTACCAACTAGAATAACAAAATCTACTGCCAAAATATTGGTCTCTGAAAGTTTAAATGTGTCTACTTGGGGCACCAAAGAGATAACAAATATATCTGATCATCAACTCGTGTATTAATCTTATCTTCTCTAAATACTTCCCTTGTTAAAATTTAAACTAGAAATTTAAAAAGTAATGATTTGGGATTTGCTATTTTTTTTCTAAATACTGCTTCATTTTATGACTTAGGTATTGAGAATTAAAAATATAAATGACAATGTTCAATTTGTTATTAATATATTTGATACTTTAGAACCTATGAACAATATACAAATTACTAGGAAAAACCCCCCAAGGTTAACATATCCCATAAAACTATGATTAAACTTAAAGATAAAGCGTTTAGTAAATTCAAACACACGAGAAATCAGGTTTACTGGCAGTACTTTAATGATCTAAAAAATCAACTTACACCTTTAATTAAAAGTGATGTACTGTATAGGTAATTGTAATAATCATAGTAAGGAACTATGAAAAAAACTAAGCGATCTTGATATATGTCAAAAACCACCTGTTCGGAGTATTCCAGGCCACTTGGACATACCCATTGGGTATTACCCAATAATATTAATGACTATTTTCTTCAATTTTCAAAAAATACAATAAATGATTAGCAGTTGGTGAATTTTTACAATAACACCTTTAAATGCAATTTTGATGAGCGTCTTTCCTTTTCGTTAGTGTCAGAGGACTCATCCTCAGTTAGTAAATATTTGTTTGGTATTAAGCCTAGGTGTACGATAATTTAAGTATTGATATGTTGGTTTTATATATACAAAAGTTTATATAATATCATATATTACTCATACAATTAACTCATGTCTTCCTAATTCTGTATTTCCAGAATCTTGGAAGATTTCAAGAGTAATCCCGATACCAAAAAAGATATTATAACGTCATATAATGATTTGCGACCTATTTCCATTTTGCCTTTTCTCTCAAAGCTTCTGGAAAAAATTATGTATTTTTAAATTCTGAAGCATGTTAATAAGTACAAAATTTTGCCACCAAGGCAGTCTGGTTTCAGAAAAGGATTTATTTAGTTGTGCTACCACTGTACTGGACTTTATTGATGATATTTTAAGGGACATAGACCAAGGCAAAACAACAGCATTGGTGCTTCTAGATTACTCCAGAGCGTTTAATACAATTAACCATAACATCTTATTTTCGATTTTTTTGATTTTCGTCAAATACTGTTAATATTTTTAAACGGTACTTCAAAGATAGAACACAATTTATACAGACAGGAAAGGGTAAAATTTGGAAGTGCCCATATATGTTGGCGTACCCTTACTATTTTGTCTGTATACTTGCAATTTAAGCAGCCACCTAGGATTTTGTACACCATACTTTTATTCCTATGATACCCAGCCTTAATTTTCATTTAATTCACTAAATATTACTCATGCAATTAATATGATTAATGATGACATCAACTTACAATAAATGCATAAAAGTCAACTATTTTATAAAACCTTCACCTCGCCAAAGTTTTTTGTTTTGAGTGCGTTCCTCCAACTTCAAATACCGACGTCTGTTTCGACCTATATTGGGTCTTATCAGTGTCAGGCAACTTGGTGTAGTGCAACACACCCGCTACACCAAGTTGCCCGAGACTGATGAGACCCAATATAGGTCGAAACAGGCGTCGGTATTTAAATTTGGTGGAACGCACTCAAAACAAGAAACTTTGGCGAGGTGAAGGTTCAATTCTTTCTTATGAATATTACCAGTAATGAGTCACAATAAATATAACTGTTTACTATTATTATTATTATTATTATTATATTTTGCATATTTTGTTTGCTTTTAAGAGAATTGTCATGTTTAAACGATTAATAAAAAACACCTTTTGGTTAAATGCAAAATAAATATTTTAGTGTTTAAAGTGACTAGGTTACAATTGTGAAAAGCTTCATGGCTAAACAAATGTCTTCAAAGCTTTAGAAATTATAGTCTAGGTGAATCAGTTTTTGACTCCCTATACATACATAATATAAAATTCCACTACATTTTTTATAATTTAATTGTTGTATTCGGTAAACGACTCGATAACAAATCGCATTCGAAAAGATCCTAATGTAATTTAAATAAAATGTGTATATCAAACATTACAGCAATTTATTTAATTAAAGAAAAATTAATTTTATAGAGATTTATACCCAAAAGTAAATTGCATTAAGTTTACGTTAAAAAAAATACATTTAAATTATAAAATATTACATACAAAAATAGTGCAAATCCGACAATGAAAATCACATTAATCTCAAGATTACTTTCTGCTTAAATTTCCGGGAGATAAGTAAAATTATCCGACAAAACAATTATAATTTTCCGCATTGGATGAGTAGCAACGTCGCTTTTCTTTATTCTTAATTTCGTTAGACTAATTAAAACCTTGTTTCAGGCCACTGCTAAAGCAAATCAAGAACTCGGCCGAGTCCCACATCGTGCTGGATTGTTCGACGCAAAGGATTTACGATGTATTGAAGCAGGCGCAACAGATTGGGATGATGAGCGACTATCACAGCTACCTTATTACTTCTTTAGTGAGTGTATTTTCTTAATTTACAACGTTTGTTTATGTTTACTACAACATGTTATGTCAGATTTACAGCTTACAGATAAATATATCTTTAACTAAAGTCAAATCAGAATCATTGTTTCCCTCAAATTGTGCATTAAAAAGCAATCACTCAACAAGTATTCACTGTGAATGAAGTCCATACTATAAAGATTTCTCCTTACACCAGGTTCGTTAAAACAAGTTTTATGAAAAATTAATAAATTAACTATTTTGTGAATTTGGCTCCTAATCGTCTTACCAAAATTTGGACCTCTACATTGTGTTTAATTACTTGTTTTATTAAATATATTTGTATGTAAAGTAAATTAAATTGGGGTAAACACTGTTTTTTATTTTTTTTGTATACCTAAATCTTCCAAGTATAATTCTTAAAGCAATGTATACATTGCTTTAAGAATTATACTTGGAAGATTTAGCTATACAAAAAAAATAAAAAACAGTGTTTACCCCAATTTAATTTACTTTACAAACAGTTTACAAAAAAGCAAGGGGTGGCTCTTAGGGAGATACGACTAGGAAAAAAGAGCTTGAGAAAAAACCCTGTTTGGCTATGAAGTAGCAAAGGATTACACGATTAGGCATTGTTTATTTAAAAGTTTATGCAAATCAATGGAAGGACACGACGCTCGTTACGTTATTTACCCCCTACAGGTTCAAAAATATAAAAAAACGTTGTTAGTTTAACAGGGCAGTTAACTTTTAGTCTGTCAACGTTAAGGTTGCCCTGTGGAGAACAAGGTCCACACTGGGAGCAACTCGCGTAAAGATGAAGGTTCGGGATAAAAGTTGCGATGTCATCTAGAGAACCTAGGTAACCAGTTATCCCTCACGGAATAGGGCATTTTAGTATCTACTTCAAACTACGTGCTAAAATAAGGAGCATTCAAAGTTTAAAATTCACGGTCAATACTCCCTTTTAAGCAACGAAACCTCCTGTAGTACACCGATATTTGTTTTAAAATTATCACAAAAAATGCATAACCGTTTTGGGGAAATTAAACGTTGGACAATAAAATAAAGGAATAACAATTTTTACATTTATCAGTAAAGTTAAAAGCCAAAAACTTTTATAAAAATATCTAATACAAAAGGTGTTAATATCGGGTAAAATTCGCTAAACGTAGTAGTGCAAAATAACTAATGATCAGTTTACTTAAATCTGAATCGTTCTTGTTTAGTGGACTTTACTTCATAATTTGGGCTACTAAAATTAAGATTGGGACCTGGGAGAATACACAAACACATGTAAAAATTATTTAAACAGAACTATATAATAAATTTCGTTTTAGTAAAAATGTATAAGAGCGATGCGTTCGATACAATTTTCAAACACTTTCTGCCGGTTTTTTCTTCCCTTTATTTGCTTCGTGTACATGAACCATCGCTTCTTGCATCATCTGGACACCAGAACTTTAGGCCAAGTTCGAAAAACTTGTAATTTCTTTACCTAAGTTTCCCTTTCTACCTCTTTTGCAAATATTTTGCCTCTATCACCATAATTTAGAAATTCCAAATTAATTCAAAAATAAATTTGTTATTTTCCTTGAAAATAAATTTGTAAAGCGTATCAAAATATAGAACCATTACAATACGGGCACGGAAGTAATTAAGTGATAAGTAACAGCATATATGTATACATGGCGGAATAACCACAGGCTAATATGAATAACCTTATGTAAAGAACAAACTAGTCTAACCAAGTGGAAGGGACCATCATCTGCACAAACCGATTACTAATTAACTGAACGACCTAATGCGCAAATTTGCAACAAAAACTTATACAATAATTAATCATTATTACTGAAAACCGCGTAAAAGTGTAAATAAACCAATATTCAAGTAAGAACGCCATAAAATATAATATAAGCATGAACTTAAGGGGCCAGCCCCAATAAAATTAAAGATTTGTCAGCATTATTTCAGCAGAGACACGGATGCAGACGAACAAGAAGTAACACAAGAATCACAATAGTCTCCCCAGAATATTAACCATCCCAGCCCTATTCATGTGGGTGTTACTAAATCCCGGGTTTTTAGACGTTCCTCGACACCCTCGCACAGACAATCCGCTTCTTACAAATTGACCGCAAACGATATGAACATATCAGCACCCACAAAAACCTTATGCGGAAAATGACTGAAGCATTGTACCAACTTCCGAAATCCGAGTTGGACAGAGACACACACAGACAGGAAGTACTACAAGACCAGCAAAGATAAGTCCAAGCAGCATACTAACCAACCAGGCCCATGGCCCATGCCATGGACTCCAATTGTATGGGGTTATTACTAAATCTCTGGTTGAGGGGGACTCCGTACTGTACTTGGTTTTGGATCAGTTATGTTTACCCTCATGCTCCCGCACCACTCCACTAGCCAAAATCGGGCGTATGGCCTGGCCCGGCGATAAAATTTCGGAAGGAGCTTTATACATCTAAACTGTCTCTTAGGGGAGAATTACCAGCCCGGGTGAAAATTCGGATCCATCAAATTGAGTTAATATTGTACAGTTGAACGCAAAAGAACTGAACACTGGGAGATCAGTGTAAGGCGTTGCCATACGTTCCTTATACTCATACCCAAATTTGTAATTAAACTTTTTCATGAAAACATAATAAAACAGTATTTTGGAGTTACGATAGAGTCTCTTAAAGTTGTAGTATTTTCACTATTGCAATCATATTTTGGGTCTAGATATCTGCAGGAAGCACAAATTATATGGTCTATGAAACAGAAAATAATCTTAATTTATCTGGCATTAAAATTCATAAAATTGTATTGTTTTAACATTAATATGAGTAACAACTGACAAAAACGCATTAATTAAAACCCTTTTATGGCAATGTTTAGGAACAATAATTTTACGTGCATTTTAGTCAATCTGTCCCTAATACCCTTCAGTTAAATAAATTATGCATGAAAGATTTTTTAAACAAGCTTTTATTGATAAACTATTGAACTAAAAATAACATTTGGTGTACGAAGTTAAACAGTTAAGCTATACCGAAGAACTACTAAACATAAATTAAAATTAAATTTGAATATTTTTTTAAAAGATTTAGGGTGACGTTTTATGCTACAGGCTTAATCTTTTAAGAAAATGTTTTTATTCTCTAGTTTTTCTGTAGCTTTAGGGGAGCGGCGGGTATTGGCGTACATGCGGGTAATCCCGTTAATGACAAATTTTCGATTGCGCATACTATTTTGGAAAAGTTAAAGCATAAAACGATGCCTACTTAGATATCTGGTAAATGGCTGCAAGAATTAAAAATCTACCTTATCAACAAAAACTTCCACACCAAAACAAAGTTTCTTGCATGGCGTCTTATAAGACCGCTGTGACTTTTTAATTACAACAAACAGTGATTGAATTGGTTTTTTAAAACAGTGCCCGCCAGTATATGAACAATTATTGTTTGTTGTTGATTTAAGTCTGAAATGTAAGTTGAAATATTGCAAATAACATCGTAGTAAATTTTTTTAACCTACATAGTAGGTTCGGGTATTCCCGTACGCCATTATGATAGTCCTAAAGACTATATTTGCGGCTACTGTCCAGGTTTGCAGCACTGAATATTTACTATAGACCACATTTTTTATTTTGTTTTAATTTGTTGTATGCTATTATTTATGTTTGTATACCAAATATATTGAATTTGTTACCTTTTTTAATCTAGTTTATGCATGTACGGTAATACCCGCAATGGAGGGTAATGCTGAACATAAACCGTTTTTTGAAAAATACATTTTTGCATTTCTGGCTTAATAGCAAGGTATTTGTTTCCACCGGATATCACTACAGTGAACCTTAGGCTACGCCCACAACAAATTTTGAAGCTATATCTTCCCAGGTGTATCTGTAATTAATTTTAATGCTTAGGTGTACGTCAATACCCGCCGTTCCCCTACTATTTAACTTCATACACGACATTTTTTTTCAAGCATATGATAATTTTTAACATTCATGGGTCTATAAAGAAAGACTTCATATTAATACTAGTTCAAAATTAAAATTATTATAAACCTCTACTGCATTGGCTAGCCCCTCGGTAGTGAAATATATAATAAGCTCTCTTCAACAGGTCTATAATGTGTCATTACTATTTAGTTAAATAGTTTATAAACTAAAACTTGCTTTAAAAAATAAGTTTTAAGTTTATTTTATTTTATACTTTTTAGCATTAGAATATATATTTTAATACCTTCACTTGTGCCTATTTAGCTCTTAAATATTGAATTTTAGTTACCTTGGCTATTTACATGTTTGAACTGAACATTTTATTTATTACCTCTAAAGCAGTATTTTTTAATCTTCGTTTGTAGTCAACCTCTTTACAAAAACGTCCTTTTCTTTCGTTTAGAATATTGTCAAAAAAATTGCAACAGACCAATCGTTGGTAATAATTTCTCACATTTCTTGCATGATACAGAGCTTGCATAATTTAAAAGTGAAACTACTACAGGTTACTTTCCAGAACTGAACTCTAAAGCTGACAATGGGCATACATGGACACTAAAACCTTTTTAATACGTCTGCAATATGTCTGCTAAAATGGAATTTAATTAGCAAAAGATTGGCATCTTCTGAATAAAAATAAAAAAAGAATATTCAGAGCCGGCAGGGAAAGATTTGAAATTATTAGTGTCAAACGCCAATCTCTACATTTGTAAAGTAACTTTATCTTTAATTATGAATATAAAAACTAAGAAAATAAATAGGCTTCAATTAGAAAATAATGTGGTTATGGTTATGACTTAAAAATAAAACCACGATTTCACAAATTATTTAAAATTTAATACATAGACAGCCTTCTCACTGAAATAGTTTTATTTCTTTTGAAATTTAGGACCTACAACCCTTGCTTTTTACTTTTACGTGGCTTGCGACCGCGACCCCCCGTGCCCCCGACCCCCCATAGCTTAAAAAATACATTTAAATTAGGGATGCATCCAATACCGATA